GGCTCTGCGGCCCGGGCGCACTCCCGGAGCGTCCCCTCGCTGCTGGGCGATGGGGCTTGGAGGGGAGAGAGGCTGGCTCTTGCCCGCTGGTACTATTTCAACTCCTGGGCTGGGTGGGAATGCGGAGCTTTTCCTTTGGCTAATGATATCCTGAGGATCTCTCTGCTCTCAAATTACAGCTGGTTTCGTCACTTGGAAGCCAGGGAACAAGTTTGGAAAGAAACCTCTCACCAGGTCTCTGTTATTAAAGGTACAGGGTCTCTTTTTAAACATTGGGAGACCCTAAAAAACAGATTGTGGCTTGAAGGAGAAAGTGGGAAGAGGGTAGCTAGAGTTCCCACAACAGAGAGACCGGTTTGCTGTTAACATATTGGGAGGAAGAAGGGCGATTCCTCAGGAGAAAGGACATTTCCCGTTTTTAATAAGGATCAGTGAGATTGGATTCAGTGAGCATGTCTATCATTAAAAAGTTTGTGACTTCGAAGGCAAATTTGACGTATAGAAAGTGGCAGTTTGACTTGAAAATGGTTAATTAAAATTCATAATAACAATACTTTGGAAGCGCCAGGAAACAGAAAACTGATTAATACATGTTTGCAAGTAGTATATATAAGAATAAAAGCTGAAATGGAATTTTGCCAGTTTAATAAGTAAGTGGACAACTCAGATAATTGTTTGATTTTATGGAAAACCATCCATGCTAAGCTTCTGCATTGTATCTTTAACTTGACACCTTGAAAGCTATTACCTCTTTTTAGGATATTAAACGTTTTTGAAGAATATAGGGCTGGTACTGTTTCCCCATTTTCCAGATGGAGAAACAAAGGGACATTATGTTAAGCAAATTGTTTATAGTCACAAAGTCATATTGCAGTTGAGCCAACACTCATTAAGTCACAAGGTCTTTAATTTAGGGGAAAAAAGTATTTTTTTAACCCAGCCATTATAATTTCTGATTTATTAATTGATTAGCAAATAGCCATCAGGCCATCTCATTTGTTCAACAGATATTTATTGAGCATCTACTATGTACCACAGTCTATGAAAGTATTGCAAATAGAGCAATGAACAAAAATAGAGGCACATCCTTGCCCTCCTGGAGCTTATGTTCTGGGAAATGGAGAGAGGATTATATTAATACAAATAAGATATATTGTATGTTGGGCGGCAATGAGGTCGTAGAGAAAAGACAAGGAAGGGATGGGAAAGCAAAAGTCAGCATTCCTATTCCCATGCTTATTTCCTCTTTCCCACTTGAAATATAACTGAAACACTCATATGATTTGCCTATGTTTATACTTATCTCCCTCTCCAAGTCCTAGGGGACTGGTATCATTCAGAGCCACAGTGTCATACAGTTTTGGGACTGCCACATTTATTGCCATCACTTTCACTGTCATAAGGCCAGCCTCTTGGATAGACATGAAAAGTCTGGTTAAGTAATTGGGTATTTTGTTAATGTGATGTCACATGCAGTTTTTTGAGACATGTTGACTGCACATTTTAACTCTTATCCACATAAATGGCATCATGAAAACATAGCCCAAAGGAGTTTTCTTAGTGTGAGAGAAAATCATGGATCTGTTGCCTCCCATATGCAGCCAAGCAGGGATCAAGCCCACAACCTAGGTATGTGCCCTGACCTGGAATCAAACCCTCAACCTTTTGGTGTATAGGACAATGCTCCAACCAACTGCGCCACCCAGCCAGGGCTAAATAACTTAATTTTTAATAATGACTATGTTTAACCACTGGCTTGCAAAATCCCTGAAAACCTAACAATTGTCTTGCATGAGAAGGTGCTGGCAGGCAAGAGCACGACACGGTCTTTTGCACTGAACACTTCATCTTGTTCGCTTTTAAAAGGTATTTATCTGTAGGTTCTTCATTTGTACCT